TTTGGGAAACTACCATATAGATGCTAACGAACTGAAAAGTTCAAGGTGCCGCCAAGGGACGGGGCCACGTTTTGCTGATCTTCAGCAACTCCGGCGCCGAAATCCTCACCTGTTCCAACTGGGCAGCTGGCTCGGGGCTGACGATTGATGACTGACCTTTGCCTTCGTCATTCTCATCTACTCCTAGATCTACTCCAGGATCTTCGCCATCGAGGCCATCCAGCATAGCCTCTTAAGGCATCTGGCCTACAGCTCAGAGTACCCATGCTAAGCACCTGCCTCTGCTTCCAGCAAGGGGTCCTGCCTAAGCAATCCGGGAGAACTCTCTCTCTATTATGATTCTTACTACTGTGATTATTGGTATTCTTCCGATNNTGGGCTCCCACCCACTAATAGTGACCACAAGAGATAATGGTAATTATATTAGGGTCCTTATATATTCCTAGTATACCACTATTAGTGGGTGGGGGCTCAACCCAAAGTTATACTTGGTTTTTGTGTGAATGCCCAGCTGTAGGCGCTTGGTGTCAGGCTGGGGCTCCTCTTTTATGGGCTCACTCATGGCTAGGGCCAGGGCACTCGCTGCAGGTGGTGCTGTCAGATTGTCAGAGCTACCATAGCAGAATTTAACCCCAATATAACCCCAATATAATATAGCCCCAATAGAAATATAACCCCAATATGATATAACCCCAATATAACCCCAATATAATCACTGTAGTTTCCATTTTCTTTTCCATGATCCCACTAGAATCCCAATATAAATCCCATTGGGCTCGTCGGTCTGTCACTGCTGCCGGTCTGTCACTCTGAGAACAGGCTCGCATGGTACCGTCCGTCCCAGAAGAGCCATGACTTGAAACTCTGGCAACGCAACATGCAAACATCACAGCTAGAAAACCATAAATGGTAGTTTCCCCATGATTTTCCATTATCCCAATCTAACCCCAATATACTACATGAGCTACTGTCTAAACTCCTAGTATCCCCCTTAATAACCCCTATAGTACTCCCCTATATAATCCCCTATATAACCCCCTTTAAGGAGTTTAGACTATAGCTTACATAGTGGAGCAATCATCGCAGCTGAAGGGGAGCTTGGACAAATGTTAGTCTTACCGTGCAAAGCAGGCAGGGTTGGGCGCACTCTGGCTTCACTTAGCCAGGCACTCTCTGCATCAGCCTGGAATACGTACATGTGGTTGTTGCAGAAGGTATGTCGGTGGTTGTCAAAATTATGGTCCCTTTTTGGGACGGCACCTAATATCTAGGGTACCCAAAAAGGGATCATAGTTTTGACAACCACCCATGTGTCTTTGTAGACTGTTAAGGAAGCACCTCTGCAATCGTAGCAACGAATCGCGTCTTCACGCGGATAACCTGTCGTGCTGTATGTGATACTCTGTAAGCCAGCCCGGCCCTCTGTCTTCCGAAAGGCGAATGAAGGAATGGATCCTTATAGTATTCCCTATAGAATTCCCCCCCAAGAAATGTGGTTTCTGTAGAATTCCCCAAGATATGGGGTTTCTATAGTCTTTTCCATTCCTCCTCCTGCAGCCAGAGGTAAGACACAGCGGCTGGGTCCCAGGCCAAGGCTGCCTGCGTCTTCAAGGCCACAGTCCAATTACCTGACAAGGTAATAATAATAGAAATAGTGATACCAATACAAGTAGTACCCATGATGAACAATAAGAATAATAGCAATAGTAGAAAGAATGATAGTAGTTAAACATGGAGACAATGATAAAAAGACAAGTCAGCAAGAATAGTAACAATCATAAGAGCAGGGTGGTGCTGGCAGTTGCTTGGCATTTGCAAGGCTCTGCCTTTCAGGGCCGGGTAGGCAAAGCCAGAGGCGAAGTTGGGAATCTGATACTTTGGTAGCCTGCAGTCAGCACCAGGATACCTTCTCCTCCCACCCACTAACAGTCTATAATAGGAGTCACATTAAGGGCTCTATCTTTTTATAGTAGGATGATTATCCAACTGTCACTGAGCGGGGGCGGTACCCAAAGGATACCCTCAACGCAGACTCAGAGACCGTTTGGGCGCAGACAAGAGCAGCTTCTTCGAAGCGTTCATCAAACCCGACTTGGACCTGGCGCTGCTTCACGGGCTATGTGGTTCGCGGAAACCACATTCCCGCCATGTTGTTCATAATGATGCCATGTTGCGAAAATTTCTTAGTAGGAGGGCGGGTAATGTTGTTAGGGGAATGGGAAAGTTCCACAACCCATGGCGGCCGCGCTGCACAACGGGCGTCTTGGATGCCTGGACAGCTTTTCGTGGCAAAAGACTCCTCCAAACGCAACCCGCCCCTACCTGGGCAGCACTGGAAGAGTTGGCCTTGAGCAAGGGCACATGCTACACGAGGTGAAGCAAAGACATCTGATATTAGTCCCCCTTAAGTAGATAGAATATGGCTTTGGGTATATGATAATAAGATCCCCTATATAGCCCATATTCTATCTACTTAAGGGGGACTATATCCCCATAATATTCCGCTATAGATTCCCCTCCAAGGAGTTTAATTTGTAGCTCACATCGGATTAGCAAAGGCCCAGACCACAGCCATTGGCACGTGAAACTGAAATGAGATGGTCAGCACCTGGGTCCAAGATCATTGAGAAAAAGCAAAAGCTACTGCCCAAGACTTACTGGTGTAAAGGGAGTGTGGGGAGTGCATCTCTATAATTGTCCCTATTACAATCCCCATATTTAGGCCCACAATGGTACTTATATTCACTCCCCCACTCCCCCTTAACAACAAGAAGGAAGACTGAGAGGGAGCACAAGCCAGAGGAGCATGGTGTAGATCAGCCAGCGCCTCTCGAGCCGACTTTGGATATTGATACAGGTCAAGTCCCAAATAACAGCAGTATTTTGGTTATTTCTAATATTTCCAGTCTTTCTATTATTTCTGTTTTCTAGTTTCAGCTACTACTATTATTACTACTATTTCTGTTACTACTGTATTACAATTATTGCTCTTATTACTATTTGTACTATTAGTACTTGGATGGGAGGCCTGTCAAGGTTTTCCCAGATCAGTGGCATTTCCTCCCGCAAAAGCGCGTTTCGTGCCATCTGACCCTAAACCCTACACCTACCCATAAACCCTAAAAACCCCATGAACCCTATTAACCCTGTAAACTCTAAACTCTAGACCCTAAACCCCCCAAACCCTATCCCCATCCCATCCAAAGAAGTCCTCCTCCATTTGTCGCTCCCAGAGATCCCACCTGAGTAGCGTCTTTGTTTCTTGGTGGCTGGACAAGGTAAGCTTGTTTTCCTTATCTGGCAGTTTCCCTAAATAGGGGCACCAAAATGTACCAAAATATGCTATAATACCCTAAAAAAGGTATCCGAAATTTTGAGAACCCCCCATCTAAAACACTGTACCCAAGAAGAGGATATAGCATCTCCAAATACACTACCCCTCCGACCTGATGATTTTGCATGTAGCCTGAAGAAAGGTGTTCCAAATTGAATTCTAGCATGATTGGGATTTGGCTAGGCGGATAAGTCCCAACTTCCGCTTTACACCCTCGCAGTAAATTTGGGGATCCTCATAGGTCGGAAGAAAGATTCCAAAACTACAGGATTGGCTGAGACTTGCAGACAAAGCACTGCTTGGCAGAACCAAGGGCACGCAGGGCAACACCTGCCAGGCTGAAAGCGCTCAAGAGGAAAAAAAGTGGGAAATGAGCACCGACAATCTTTTGCTAATGAGATGGGAAACCTGACCATCTTTTGCCATGTTTGACGGCTGACGGAAAAGAGGATGGAAACTATGAGTCCCACATCGTAGGTCCACCCTAATTACTAACCCTAAACCCTTATTTGAGAAGTTCCCAAAATAGGGGGACCCCAATATAGACCCCAAAATATTATAGTCTTTATTATGGGGACCCCTGAAATTGTACCCCTAATTTTGGGAAACCCTCAATTAGCCATTAAACTGCACCCAAAGGTCCCAGCCTTCGCCACTGGATGGGGCCTTAACAGTGCTTCGGCTTAGGGCTTCTGGGGCTTTGCCTGAAAGCAGTCTCACCTAGGTATACTATAGTGGTTTCAAATTTCTTTTCCATTATCCCTATATATAACCCCAATAATATGTACCCTATAATCCCTGTATAACCCTTATATAACCCATTATCGTGTAGATAAGACCCCAAGGCATAACCAATGGTGGAAAATCAAATGGAAAAAGAACATGCAATATGAAATGGAAGTGACTGTAAGGGTTTTGGGATATGACCCCCCGCATGGAGAATCAAAAGGACGATGACACATCGAAAACTTTTTGTCCTCTCGCACACATGCCCGCTTCGCCTCTTGGCACTCGCTAAGCTCAATTCCAACCTTGCTCAGAAGCACTTTGGAGAAAAACTCCCTGGCAAGGAACCTTACTGGTGGTGAGTGGGGAATGAAGGAAGATATTCGATTGGGCGACCATATGGGGCTACATAATTAGGGATTATATACGGACTACATAAGGATTAAGAAAGGGATGATATAGGGATTCTTGCCCTTATTCTCTACTGCAAGGAACTGATACCACTCCTGGTCTTCCAGCTTAAGATCCATCATCTCCGAAAGGTTCCCAAAATGCATACGCGACCGGTATCCCGGATTCCAGACTGGGCGGTCGGCGCCTGGGGGTTCATTGGGATCGCCTGTCCGCGCGAAATTTGCGAGGTAGGTTGACATCAGCGCGGGCAGGGTGCCCTTGGGTGATCCCCTCCAGTACATGGCATCACTTCCATGGACACTGTGCTTCAGACCTCCGAAGGAATAAGAGAACACGGGCGTTTCCTCTGCTAGGAGCTGGCTCATGTAATATGAACCTGCAAAATACCAAAGGTCATTGCTCAGCCTGCTGAGTGTTTGGTGGACTGCCTTGGCTTCGGCAGCCTCCGAAGGCCAGAAACGAGAGATGACGCGAGCTGAGGCCTCTGGGAACTCCCGGTTGAGGAGAGCTTCCAACTCCTCCCAATTTCGTGCATCCTATGGTAGTACCCTAGTATAGACCCCAATGTACTATAATCCTTATTATGGGGATCCCCAAAAAAGGTACCCCACAAGTCCTCCCGAGTTCGCGCATCCTGAAAAAGAGTCTGTTCAAGCTCAACCTTGCCCAAGCCATCGTGGTCCGTAACCTGGGCTGCTGTTAAGGAACTTAAATTAAGTTACCATAATGGGTATATATAGTAAACAATAGGGTTTCCCCATTATGGTAACTTAATTTGAGTTCCTTAACAGCGACCCAGTAACGCCTATCAACACGGGCACTTTGTTGAAACGGCCCTGATGCAAAGCTTCCAGGGATGACCAGGGCTTCACAGACAGCTCCGGGTCGCGGCGGTCGATGGCGGGCTCCTGGATTGCTGTTAAGGAAGTGAATTTAACTTACATTAGGGCAAGCCTATTATGTACTATAGATACATATATCATATACCCATTATGGTAACTTAATTTAAGTTACATTGGGGAAAGCCTAGTATTTACTCTATATATATACCCATTACGGTAACTTAATTCAAGTTACATTGGGGAATGCCTAGTATTTACTGTATATTATATATATATACATATCTACTCTATATGAGCGTTCGCCGAAACT